GGAGCCGATCCGATTGGTGAGAGAGAGAATCAAGGGGCAGCTGGGGAAAGGGGTGAGCTGTGATGCGGCCAGGACCGGGTCCTATGCACACCGGCTCAGGATGTATTGGCAGAATGTGGTCCCGGCCATGAAACTGCAGGAAGAGATGAATGGGGTGCAGCGAGCAACGGAACGGAAGGTGCAGGACATCCTGGCACCAGGGCGGACCCCAGCACCGGTGTGTCGCAAGAGCTACCACAGGCACTATCCTTGCAACCAAATAGGGCAGGAGAGACGAGCCCTGCCAACCCTGGTGGCGTACGCGGGAGCGGCAGGGTACAAGTGGGAAGCAGGGCAGCCGGGGCCGGGCATGGTGTATGATCACAGGAGACGGAAATGGGAGGAACCTACGGCACTAGAGCGGGAGCTGGCTATGGGGTATAGGGAAGATGCAACAGCAGCCCCAGGGGTGAGCGAGGCGGACATGAAGGAGGGCTTTGGGGAATGCAATGGATGGCCACGCGCTGAGATGGCTGATCCAGCGGATGTGGCGAGAGACGGTCGTAAGCTGGGGGCACGAGGAAGGGGAGGGAGAGGTAGAGGTAGTGCCTCGCGGAGCGTGGAGCTGCCAGGAGAAGGAGGAGGAAAAATGGGTGGTGGGAGAGGCGATGAGCAAGGAGGGGAAAGAGGCCATGCAGGAGCTAGGGATGAGCAAATTCCCGAACGCCTGTTCGGTTCGTCTCGAACATGTTCGAGGCGAACCGAACAGGCATTTTTTTTTGCCCAAATCGTTCGGGGCGAACATGTTCGGTGTTCGGCCGAACATGTTCGCCCTTCGCCATTGACTTTTGGGGAAGGGAATTCGAACACGAACGCGTTCGTGTTCGAATTGGGGGTCCCGCGAACACCAAAGTGTTCGCGTCAAAATTGGCCGCGACCAAATATAGGTCGCGGCCGTTTTGAGTTTGAGCTCATTTCGTGAGCTCAAACTCAAAACGCGTTTAGCGCTTAGCCCTCCCTCACACAACCGCCCTAGCCATGCGGTTTTAGTAGCCATCGCACACCGTTCCTCGTTCATCTACACGTACATTTCATCTAGGGTAGTCCGTAGTGTAGGGTGTTTTCGTGAACATTAGGGTTGAGAAGCATAGGGATCAAGCACCAAGCGGTCAAGGCTCTAGTTGTAGGGACAAGCATTTCACAAACCCACACTTAACCTGGAATTCAATTAGGACCGTGCTAACGTGGCACGCGACCGTTACTTTGGGGGGGTTTTAGGGTTTTAGGACAAGTGTGACTATAACGAATCTCCCCCAGGGCGAACACGAACATGTTCGCCTCTAACGTGTTCGTGTTCGCCTGCAGCAGCTAATTGTTCGCCTCTTAGGGCGAACGGCGAACACAGATTTTCAGTCAGGTCGTTCGCCGAACCGAACAGTGTTCGGTTCGGCAGAAGGCCATGTTCGACCGAACTCGAACACGAACAAGTTCGAGTTCGGCCCCTGCTCATCCCTAGCAGGAGCTGTTGGCCAGGCACAGGAAGTGCTTCGCCTTCACCATGCAAGAACTAGGGAGATGCAAGGTGAAAGAGATGGAGCTGAAGTTGAGCAGCACGGAACCAGTGTTTCACCGCCAGAGAAAGATGCCACACAGAGATGAGGAAATCTGCAAAGAAAAGATTAAGGAGCTGCTGGAAGCGAGACTGATTAGGAGGTCAGAATCAGAATATGCTACGCCCACGGTGGTAGCTGCCAGGCGGGACCTAACAGGGGAGGTGTTGAGTAGGAGGATGTGTGGGGACTACAGGGCACTCAACAAGATCACCATAGCGGACAGGTACCCGATGCCCATGGCGGAAGAGATATTTGACAAGCTAGCAGAGGGAGTGTTCTTCATGACGCTGGACCTGCGGCAAGGGTTCAACCAGATCAAGATAAGAGAGGAGGACATCAAGAAGACGGCCTTTCATGGGCCGGACGGGCTCTATGAGTGGCTGTACATGCCGTTTGGGCTGAGGAACGCCTCAGCCGTGTTCCAGAGGGTCATGGACAGCGTGCTGCGGGGAGTGGAATGCGCGGCCTGCTATATCGATGATGTGGTGATCTTCAGCACAACCCAGCAGCAGCACCTGCAGGATGTGGAAAGGACACTGGCAGCAATAGAGGCGGCGGGACTCACCTGCCACCCGAAGAAATGCAGATGGGGGGAACAGACAGTGCAATACCTGGGTTACGAGGTGAAAGGGGGGCAGATAGGGATACAACACGCCAAGGTAGAGGTCCTGGATAGGCTGAGGGAGCCTAAGGACAGGTCAGGACTGAGAGCGGTGCTGGGATTCTTGAGCTACTATAGGCGGTTTGTGCCGAATTTCAGCAAGAGAGCGGCGGTCCTAAATGGGCTACTGCGTGAAGACAAGGCGTGGGAATGGGGAGAAGCACAGAAGGGGGCACTGCAGGACTTAATGACCGCAGTAAAGACAGCAACGGTGCTTAAGTTGCCTGCCGCTGATCACCCGTTCACACTCTACACCGACTGGAGCAGCCAAGGGATGGGAGGGATACTCTGCCAGGAGGTGAAGGGAGAGGAGAAGGTGGTGGCATATGCGAGTAGGAGCTGTAACTCGGCAGAGGCACAGTACAGCTCCTACATAGGGGAAGGATTGGCAGCTGTATGGGCTGTGGGGCACTTCAGGGTATACCTGCAGGGGAGAGAGTTCACCTTGGTGACGGATCACCAGCCCCTGACGTGGCTGATGACAACACCGGGGTTGACGGGCAGGAATGCACGGTGGGCCATGAAGCTGCAGGAGTATGACTTCAAAATAAAGCACAGGCCGGGAAAGACATTGCAGCATGTGGACGGTCTCTCTCGGAACCCCCCACTGCAGGAGCCCACCGTGACCCTGACACTGCTGGCCAGGCTGGTGGAGATGAACGGGGCCAAGGGACAGAAGGGGCCAGCAGATATTTGGGAGGATGGACCAGCCATGCGGTGGGTGAAAGGAGAGACAGGAGAGGACGAGGAGCTGACAGCGCGGGTGAGGGCAAGGGGACAGCACTACAGGTGGTATCAGCAGCAGTTGCAGGTGCAGACAGAGGACGGATGGAAGCTGGTACCAGCGCCAAGCGAGAGGGAGGCAGTGATCAAGGAGGTACACACAAAGCTGGGACACTTTGGGCACGAGAGAACGGTGCAGCTGTTGAAAACAGGGTGGTGGTGGGAAGGGATGCGGAAGCAAGTAAAGGGGTGGGTGGAAGGCTGTGAGGCATGCCAGAGGAGCAGGGCAAACCTCACACAAGCCAAGGATGAGTTGCAGTCTCTTCCCATCCGAGGCCTAGGGTTCAGATGGTCCTTGGATCTGGCGGGGGAGCTGCCGCTAAGCCGGGGGGGAAAGCAGTATATTGTGCTTATGGTGGAGCACGTGAGCAAGTGGCTGGAGGTGAGGGCTATTCCGAGCAAGAGCTCTAGGCACGTGGCAGCAGCGTTCAAGGAGCAGGTGATATGCAGGTTCGGGGCATGTGCCGAGGTCCTCACAGACCAGGGAACCGAGTTCCAAGGGGAGTTCAAGAAGCTGCTGGAGGAGACAGGGATCACCCACAGGCGCACTTCGCGGTACCACCCACAGAGTGATGGGCTGACCGAGCGCCTGGTGCAAACCCTGAAGCGGGGACTGCGAGCATATGGGGAGAAGAGGAAGCGCGATTGGGATGAGGAGCTGCACTGGATTGCAGCAGGGTACAGGTTTGGGAAACAGGCGGCCCTAAGAGATCACTCTCCATACAGTCTCTTATATGGATGTGAACCGCTGCTGCCGGTGGGAGCAACCCGGGTCCTCACAGACACAGTGACGGCAGGCACCATAGAGAACTGGGTGGCTTTGTCAGAGGCCAGGGCAAGGTACCTGCGGGTCATGATGCCGGCTGCCTTGGAAAACCTCCACACCGCACAACTAAGAGATGCTCGGCACTACGAGCAGCGACAGCAGCAAGGGGCGGGGGGAAGAGCAAAGAAAGGAGTGAGTCAGGGGCAGGAGGTGTACCTGAAACGGGCAAAGCAAGACACCCTGGATGTCGGGGTGGGCTCTGAGCGGTGGAGAGTGAAGGAGGTCCGTCCCTCGGGGGTACTGGTGTTGGAAAATGAGAAGGGGGCAGTTCTGAAGGAGCACCAGAGTAACACAGCCATGGTGAAAGGGGGTCAGCCTCAGCAGGTTGGTCCTGTGACACGAGCTCAAGCAGCTCGAGCACGAGCACAGGAGGGGGCAGTGGGTGAGTGAGGCTAGACCACACGGAGAACGGAGAAACAAGGGAGACAACAGGAGAAGAGCAGGTGCAGGAGAAGACTAAGGGGTAGGAAGAAGGTTCTCCGACAGCTGTCACAGCATATGCACCTAATGCATATGCCATAACAGTAGGGTGAGGGTATTGGCAGGGCTCTAGGTTGCTAGCACAAGAAGAATAGCTGGATATAATAAGATAGAATAGAAATAGCTGAAGGTGTAGAATGTGTAGAATATAGCGAGGTGACTGTTTAGAATGGGGTGTAGAAGGGGGGAAACGGGATAAGAGCGGTTGGGATAAAAAGGGGGAAAAGACACCAAGGGGCGAAATGTGAAACCAGTCCATCCCAAACCCCGAGCCGCGCATTTGGAAATGTGCAGCCTGGGGTTGGGTAAGGGCACTCACGTCCAACCCCCCGATGCCTTTGCGATTGTAATTCTCTCGAACTAGTTAAATCTGCCATCTTCGCTCTAGCACACTGAGGCACGTCACTAAGAGGGAACCTACGGGGTGAGGGACTAAGCTCTTTCATTAAGTGGGTGAGTGAGGCTAGACCACACGGAGAACGGAGAAACAAGGGAGACACCAGGAGAAGAGCAGGTGCAGGAGAAGACTAAGGGGTAGGAAGAAGGTTCTCCGACAAAGACGCCACCCAGGCATCGTCTTGCATTGACTGGCATTGACTGGCATTGACTGGCGTTGACTGGCATTGACTGGCGTTGACTCGCATTGATCGGCAGGCATTTACTGGTGTTGACCGGCAGGACCCACCTGCAGGAGCACCAGCAGGATTTGAGCAGGTGGAGCAGAAGGAGGGGCACTGGCGGCAGAAAGAAGAGTTGAGTGACTGAGCGACCACACAGGGGGAGGCGTCAGCAGGGCATTTGCGTGACGTGCTGGACACATCACTGCTTGGTGGGGCGTGTGGCGTGGAAGGGAGGACGTGGGAAGCAGGGGTTGAGAAAGTGTGCGAAGGGTGAGGGAATGAGATCGTGAAATGAGGTGAGTGAGAGGGTGGCTGCATGGGTGGGAATGGGTGAGAAGAGGTTGACAGAAGTTGGCTTAGGTTGGCTGATGTTGGGCAGAAGTTACAAGGAGATGATGCAGGTGTAGCGAGGCAGAGAGCATGAGCAGCACAGCTCACAGATTCTGATCAGTGGACAGCGGCTCATCACGCAACACAAGAGAAGACGCACAGGAAGGTGAGTTGCTGCAGGCCCCCAAGACCAGCAGGCAGCCACCCGGTGAACTTGTTGTGACTCACGTCGCTGCATGGCAGGCAAGATGATGCAGATGCCGACAATAGTGAGGGTGGTGGTGATGGTGATGGTGATGGTGGTGGTGGTGGTGGTGGTGGTGGTGGTGGTGGTGGTGGTGGTGGTGGTGGTGGTGGTGGTGGTGGTGGTGGTGGTGGTGGTGGTGGTGGTGGTGGTGGTGGTGGTGGTGGTGGTGGTGGTGGTGGTGGTGGTGGTGGTGGTGGTGGTGGTGGTGGTGGTGATGGTGATGGTGACCGTTGCTAAGTGAGGGGCAAAGATGGAACTTAACGCTCTCTGAGAAAGGCTATCCGTGCGATTCAGGAAGGCGGGTGGTGGTTGAGGATTGTGAATGACGTTGAGGCAGGGAGGCAACTGACAGGCCTTTGAGAGTGGCCATGCGTGTGATCCATGCGGGCAGCGATCCACCCATCCCGTTGTACCCAACATCCCTGTGAGGCGTGCACGCACGCAAGCACGCACGCCAGCAGGCACGCAAGCAGGCATGCAAGCAGGCAGGCAAGCAGGCAGGCAGGCAAGCAGACACGCCAGCAGTAAGAACACAAGCATGTAAGCAAGCAGGCACAATATGCACAGGGGGAGGGGAGGTGAGCACCAAAGCACCATCACCATGCCTGCACGCACGCAGGCATGCACACATGCAGGCATCCAGGAAAGCAGTAGGGCTGGTGCAGCGTTGCGAGCAATTGGCACAAGAAGCATAGTTGGTGCAGTGAGTGACAGCAGAGCCGAGCGAGGTTGAGAGCGTACAGCGCCGCCTGGATATAGAAGCCGGACGCCGAAGCACCGTGCACTAGTGACAAGAAGCACACACGGCTGCACTGCAGGTGAGCACAGTCACAGCCATGTGATGCTGGCCCATGCTGGCCCATGCTGGCCCATGCTGGCCCATGCTGGCCCATGCTGGCCCATGCTGGCCCATGCTGGCCCATGCTGGCCCATGCTGGCCCATGCTGGCCCATGCTGGCCCATGCTGGCCCATGCTGGCCCATGCTGGCCCATGCTGGCCCATGCTGGCCCATGCTGGCCCATGCTGGCCCATGCTGGCCCATGCTGGCCCATGCTGGCCCATGCTGGCCCATGCTGGCCCATGCTGGCCCATGCTGGCCCATGCTGGCTGCCCATGCTGGCCCATGCTGGCCCATGCTGGCCCATGCTGGCCCATGCTGGCCCATGCTGGCCCATGCTGGCCCATGCTGGCCCATGCTGGCCCATGCTGGCCCATGCTGGCCCATGCTGGCCCATGCTGGCCCATGCTGGCCCATGCTGGCCCATGCTGGCCCATGCTGGCCCATGCTGGCCCATGCTGGCCCATGCTGGCCCATGCTGGCCCATGCTGGCCCATGCTGGCCCATGCTGGCCCATGCTGGCCCATGCTGGCCCATGCTGGCCCATGCTGGCCCATGCTGGCCCATGCTGGCCCATGCTGGCCCACGCTGGCCCATGCTGGCCCATGCTGGCCCATGCTGGCCCATGCTGGCCCATGCTGGCTCATGCTGGGCTGGCCCATGCTGGCCCATGCTGGCCCATGCTGGCCCATGCTGGCCCATGCTGGCCCATGCTGGCCCATGCTGGCCCATGCTGGCCCATGCTGGCCCATGCTGGCCCATGCTGGCCCATGCTGGCCCATGCTGGCCCATGCTGGCCCATGCTGGCCCATGCTGGCCCATGCTGGCCCATGCTGGCCCATGCTGGCCCATGCTGGCCCATGCTGGCCCATGCTGGCCCATGCTGGCCCATGCTGGCCCATGCTCGCCCATGCTGGCCCATGCTCGCCCATGCTGGCCCATGCTGGCCCATGCTGGCCCATGCTGGCCCATGCTGGCCCATGCTGGCCCATGCTGGCCCATGCTGGCCCATGCTGGCCCATGCATGCTGAAGCCCATGCTAGACAACGATGCCGCATTGCACTTCATTCCTCTGCACCGTCCAATGCACCGCATTGCACCATCCTCCCAACCCAAGAACCCATACACACTCACATTGGCTGGTATGTCCGTGGCTCACACAGTTGACATTGAGTTCATTCCAAGTTCCTCCTATCAAGCACCCACCCACACGTGGGGTGGTGGCCCCGTGCTCACAAGGTTTGCAGGCGGGAGAGGCGCGAGAGGGTGCTGGGGATGGCGCCGGTCAAGGAGTTGTTGGCCAAGTTGCTGCCGCACCACGCATGGCACGGGGAATGTTGTGGCACGGGGAATGTGGCACGGGGAATGTGGCACGGGGAATGTGGCACGGGGAATGTGGCACGGGGAATGTGGCACGGGGAATGTGGCACGGGGAATGTGGCATGGGGAATGTGGCATGGGGAATGTGGCGCGGGGAATGTGGCACGGGGAATGTGGCATGGGGAATGTGGCATGGGGAATGTGGCATGGGGAATGTGGCATGGGGAATGTGGCACGGGGAATGTGGCATGGGGAATGTGGCATGGGGAATGTGGCACGGGGAATGTTGTGGCACGGGGAATGTGGCACGGGGAATGTGGCACGGGGAATGTGGCATGGGGAATGTGGCACAGGGAATGTTGTGGCACGGGGAATGTGGCACGGGGAATGTGGCACGGGGAATGTGGCACGGGGAATGTTGTGGCACGGGGAATGTGGCACGGGGAATGTGGCATGGGGAATGTGGCATGGGGAATGTGGCACAGGGAATGTTGTGGCACGGGGAATGTGGCACGGGGAATGTGGTATGCGGAACGTGGCATGGGGGAATGTGGTATGGGAACGTGGTATGGGGAATGTGGCACGGGGAATGTGGCATGGGAATGTGGCACGGGGAATGCGGCACGGGGAATGTTGGGGCACGGGGAATGTGGCACGGGGAATGTGGCACGGGGAATGTGGCACGGGGAATGTGGCATGGGGAATGTGGCATGGGGAATGTGGCATGGGGAATGTGGCATGGGGAATGTTGGCACAGGGAATGTGGCATGGGGAATGTGGCACAGGGAATGTGGCATGGGGAATGTGGCACGGGGAATGTGGCACGGGGAATGTGGCATGGGGAATGTGGCATGGGGAATGTGGCACGGGGAATGTGGCATGGGGAATGTGGCACGGGGAATGTGGCACGGGGAATGTGGCATGGGGAATGTGGTATGCGGAACGTGGCATGGGGGAATGTGGCATGGGAACGTGGTATGGCGAATGTGGCACGGGGAATGTGGCATGGGAATGTGGCATGGGGGAATGTGGCATGGGAATGTGGCACGGGGAATGTTGGGGCACGGGGAATGTGGCACGGGGAATGTGGCACGGGGAATGTTGTGGCACGGGGAATGTGGCACGGGGAATGTGGCACGGGGAATGTGGCATGGGGAATGTGGCATGGGGAATGTGGCACGGGGAATGTGGCGTGGGGAATGTGGTATGCGGAACGTGGCATGGGGGAATGTGGCATGGGAACGTGGTATGGGGAATGTGGCACGGGGAATGTGGCATGGGAATGTGGCATGGGGAATGTGGCACGGAGAATGTGGTATGGGGAATGTGGCATGGGGAATGTGGCATGCGGAGTGTGGAATGGGGGATGTGGCATGAAGTTGTGATCGTATTTGCAACAACTAGCAACTCGCGGATTCGCTCTACATATTGGCAGGCAGGCTCACTCACAGCGACGTGATGCCGTCCATGTTGCCTATGCCTTGAGGAATGCTGCCTGTGAACTGGTTGCTGTATAGATTCCTGCATCACATACCATCCAACCAGCACATCAGGGCGCATTGACCACACCACCCCACACGACTCTACACCGCACCACACTAGGCAGCCTGGAGTGCTGAGAGGGCAGTGCGCTGTGAGGAGCACTCGTATGCTCACAAGACTTCTAGCTTGCTCAGGCTCCCAATGGACTCCGGGATGGCGCCACTGAACCGGTTCTGCCACACTGCACTGTGTGTGTGTGTGTGTGTGTGTGTGTGTGTGTGTGTGTGTGTGTGTGTGTGTGTGTGTGTGTGTGTGTGTGTGCGTGTGTGTGGTGCGTGGGTGGGTGAATAGGAGACAGAGCGAAACGGGGGAGAGAGGGGGGGGGGGGGGGAGGGGGGGGGGGGGTGGCAGGTGATAACAATATGTGGCGGAGATAGGCATGAGTGAGAGCATGGGGAATTCACAAGTTCCTTGCGGAAGGTTACATTTGTCATGGAGATGTGCGCTTGTGTGTCACTTCCAATTTCCAACACACAGGCAGAGCAAGACAAAGAGAAGGCGCTTACAAGACATTGAGGTTGATGGCACTGCCAAGGGACTCCGGGATAGCTTTGCTCAGCCGATTTCCCACCAAACTTCTGCACAGCACCAGGCGCATGGCAGCACAGACACGTGCAGTGCAGGGCGGCGGCGGGTGGAACGGGCAGGCAGTCAGTTAGGCGGGCACAGGCAGGCAGGCAGGCAGGCAGGCAGGCAGGCAGGCAGGCAGGCAGGCAGTCAGGCGGCGGGTGGAACGGGCAAGCACAAGGCGTAGAGCAGTACAAAGAGACGCAGTGGCAGTGCATGCATGCGATGGCTGGCCTTGAGACCAACACGTGGCACAGCCGTTGGGGAGGTTGTCCCATGAAGTATACTTCACAAGAATAGTAAGCAAGGGTTTGATGCGTGCGTGCAGGAGTGCAGGGGAAGTTGCACCTGCGTGTGTGTGTGTGTGTGTGTGTGTGTGTGTGTGTGTGTGTGTGTGCGTGTGCGTGTGCGTGTGCGTGTGTGCATGTGTGCATGCATGCGTGAATGCATGAGTGTGGGTGGGAAGAGGATAAACAGGGGGTGAAAGGGGATGAGCGCACATGTACTCCAATGTGGTGTGACCGGATACCCATGATGGAAACGGCCCTGTTAGATCCATGTAGCTGAGACCCCTGCATGCACACATGCATACACACACACATGCACACATGCATACACACACACATGCACACATGCATACACACACACATGCACACATGCATACACACACATGCACACATGCATACAAACACACATACAAACATGCATACGCACACACACACACACACGCACAGTCGCACGCATGCATGCACACTTACACACACACACACACAACACACACACATAAAACACACACACACACACACACACACACAACACACCCACACACGCACACACACACACACACACAACACACACACACATTACACACACACATACACACACACACACACACAAAACATACTCAGAAAGGTACAAGCATGCAACCGTTGTGTGTGCATGCGCTCACACACCAGCACACATCCTCCTCAACGCTGTCCTGTTGGAGCCCTCTCAAGGCGCCCTCTCACACTATGCTGCTCAAGCTCTGCATTGCTGCTGTTACAGTAAGATGCAATGCTATGCAAGGCAATGCGAGGCAGGAAAGTGGCCTTGCTCTCCCACTGTGCAGCTCAAGCACTGCAAGCAGAAGGTGGGAATGAGAATGCGCGGAGTCACGAATGTGTTTTGAGGACGAGGAAGGGCGCACAGGGTGTTGAGATTGGTGAGGCTTGAGAGTGCGAGGGGAATGGAGGCTGTGATTCCCCTGTTGTAGCTCAGATCCCTGTCACCACCCACGAGGCAAGCAGCAAGAAGCACGTCGCAAGTGGCAAGAGACAAGGCAACATTCACCATTGAAACAGGCCACACTCATCAAAGCATGGCAAGGCGGCGCAGTGCGCATGTGATGGGCGGAAGCGAGCATGGGAGCGCAGCATGAACAGCTCGCACGGCACAGAGGCACAGCAGTGCATTGGTGAGCAATTTCAGGGACATATACTGAGCAAGCAAAGTACTGTGTGTGATTCGGCAGCATGATTCATCACAAGGACCGACCAAAGCAGCACAATCACGCCAAAATTTCCTGTCACCACTGTGTGAGACATGTCACCATCACCTTTCCATGTCAATTCCTGCCATCACCATGCCATGTCAATTCCTGCCATCACCATGCCATGTCAATTCCTGCCATCACCATGCCATGTCAATTCCTGCCATCACCATGCCATGTCAATTCCTGCCATCACCATGCCATGTCAATTCCTGCCATCACCATGCCATGTCAATTCCTGCCATCACCATGCCATGTCAATTCCTGCCATCACCATGCCATGTCAATTCCTGCCATCACCTTGCCATGTCAATTCCTGCCATCACCATGCCATGTCAATTCCTGCCATCACCTTGCCATGTCAATTCCTGCCATCACCATGCCATGTCAATTCCTGCCATCACCATGCCATGTCAATTCCTGCCATCACCATGCCATGTCAATTCCTGCCATCACCTTGCCATGTCAATTCCTGCCATCACCATGCCATGTCAATTCCTGCCATCACCATGCCATGTCAATTCCTGCCATCACTTTGCCATGTCAATTCCTGCCATCACCATGCCATGTCAATTCCTGCCATCACCTTGCCATGTCAATTCCTGCCATCACCTTGCCATGTCAATTCCGGTCATCACCTCATGTCAAGTCCTCCTGCCATGGCACTCACAGCTGCTCCAAGAGCACTAGGCGAGAGAAGGAGAGTGGGATGGAGCCAGAGAGGTTATTGATTGCGAGACGGCTGAGACGCGTGGGTGGTGGGTGGGGAGAGGGAGGGAAGGTCACGGGACGAGGAGTTGGAGTGGAGTGTGTTGGTTGGTGATGAGAAGGACTGACTCTGACAAGCACGTGAAAGAACGTAATGGCACGGCAAGGAACGGCACAGCAGGGAGTGGAGCAGAGCAGCACGGCACGGCATGGCATACAGATATGTGAGGGCGGTGAGGTTGCCGATGGCATCCAGTAAGGGGCCGTCCAGAGGCTGCTTTGAGACGTGCCTGCGGGTGGGGGCGGGGCATAGGTTATGAGTCGTGGGGCACTCGTCTGCAGCCCTGTAACACGGGCCACGCCATGGGGCGCAAGTAGTGGAGCAGGGGGAAGTGGGCATGGGTAAGGAGGCGTCATGGGGCTTGCAGGAGGAAGCAGGTGCCAGGCGAAAGGAAACCTCATTGCCTTCCCCCTGCACGCCCACCTGCTCATTGTCTCCCTTCCCACCCTCCCACACACTCCACGGACTACATCGCACTCACCCACTCCCCAACCTCTCCACCAACAAAGTTCATACGTCCCACTCCCTCCCCCACCCCCTCACACCCTCTCATTTTTGCCGTTGCGACGCACAAATAAGTGACCATGCCGGCATCGTCGCACTCCACGCCGAACACGGCAGCGCAGTCGCCCCCCGCGGCCCACCCCTGCAGCGCCGCCGCCCACTGCTCCTGGCACGCCGCCAGCACCGCCGCTGCGAAGGGCAGCCATGGGGGTAGGGCGGAGGGTGACGAATGGGCAGGAGCATGTGAGCGGGCGCAAGGGAACACCTTGTGGTATTTCTCAAGTCAATACGAGGGGACTAGGATGGAGAGCGGAGGCCGGGGGGTGAAGGGCGAGCATGTGAGCGGGCACAGGGAACGGACGGAAGGGAGTGTGGGCACCAGGCGAGGGGATTGGGGGAGAGGGGGGGGGGGGGGGGGGAGGTGTGGGTGTGAGTACGGGTGGAGAGGCAGGAAAGAGGGGAGGAGGAAGGAACGGAGAGAGGTGGAAGACAAGGAGTGTTGGATGGGGGAGTGTGGTGCCGGGCGCGAGAAAGGGCTCGACTGTAACGGCGAGCATAGAGAGGAGAGGGCGGGTAGGAGGGTTCTGGGAGTGGATACGAGTGCAAGCGGCGAGGCAAGCACGGATGGACGAGGGGCCCGAGCGCGGTAAAGGGTGGTGGAGGGAGGGGGAGATGGAGAGGGGAGGGGGGGGTGACAAGGTATGGAAGGAAAAGAGCTGATGAGTCATTGGTGCCACGTGTAATACCGGCGGAACTCTACGTCTCAATACCAAACGATACGTCTCTACCATGACCATAAAGCCGCGGATAGTGCCAGGCGGATATGAGTGCGAGGCTATCGAAAGCTAGAGAGACTGACCTTGCGACGGGTGGAGATTCACAGCGGCCGTGGTCGTCAGACTGCTCGCCATCGCGAGGCCCAGCATTGCGACGAGGACCACGGCGACGCGATGCAACGCTTCCATTTGAATCAGTCGCTCAAAGAGGCGGATGTGTCGCGCATTTCTGGAACTGTTCTATGCACACTGCGCGCACAGCGCTAGCGACACGTGGAATAGTGGGAACTTCCTGCAAATAAGGACGCGTCACATGGGGCAATCGATCGTCAAATATTGATCCGCAACCGTTCTGTAATCACGCGTATTACATCCGAAACTTACAGTACCGTGTTTCAACCCGCCGAGACCCAACCCTGAGTAGGTTGGCCCTGAAATAGTGACATCCCAATGTCGCAGTACACTTGCGTACAAGAGCAGCAGTATACATTTGACAGCACTGTTTGAGGCTCTACAGTACGCAGGGCGATTTCGCCACAACGAAAAAAAAATGGATTGGCGAGAGGGTTAGCGAAAATCTGAAGCGGGGGTGCGAGGGAACGAGGGTTGGGGGATCACAAAATGGGAAAACCTCCCGTCATCAACTAACACAGACACACTTGCGTTTCAATCAGAAACTATTTCCTAGGAAACGCCGCGGTATAACTAACCAATGTGGGCAGATGGCGGCTATACCAACAGTGCGACTTCTCACATAGTCGCGCGTTAGTAACTAAACATATACAGGGTAGGTTACGCCTTGAAAACGGCCATCAATCGAGCCCCCACCATCTCCCACTCAATCGCTACGCCGCTTGCATTCGGACTGCCGCCGCGTGGCATTCGCCGAGCCCGGCGTGCATGCGGCGCGCCCGTCATAACTTGGATTACACTGCGCCACGGCGACTTGCATTCGGCGGGATCGCCGCAATGCAATCGTTGCTTTCAAAATCGACACATTTGATAAGGCAGCCGTCTGCCCACCTTCCAGCCCCGCCGCGTTGCCCTCGGCGGGCTCAACGCGTTCCATGCGTTGGCCAGGCCGGCGGGCTTAGCGTCTCACCCGCTTAGCGCGTCACTCGCTGCGCTCCTCACCCGCTTAGCGCGTCACCCGCTGCTCGCCTCACCCGCTTAGCGCGTCACCCGCTGCGCGCCTCACCCCATGCCGGGCGCTTGTTTCCCCCCTGCTCGCCCTCTTATCCCTAGCTTGATCACGGATTTCTTCCTCTTTCAGGCCCAGGAAAATAGAGGGAAGGCCAACTCTCCAATGAACTTGTCTATTCCTCCGCCCCCTCCTTGCCCACGGATTCCTCCTTGCTGCCCCTGCTTCCCCTCCTTTCCCCCCCTTGATTCCCCTCCTTTCCCCCCTTGCTTCCCCTCCTTTCCCCCCCTTGCTTCCCCTCCTTTCCCTCCCTTGCTTCCCCTCCTTTCCCCCCCTTGCTTCCCCTCCTTTCCCCCCCTTGCTTCCCCTCCTTTCCCCCCCTTGCTTCCCCTCCTTTCCCCCCCTTGCTTCCCCTCCTTTCCCTCCCTTGCTTCCCCTCCTTTCCCCCTCTTGCTTCCCCTCCTTTCCCTCCCTTGCTTCCCCTCCTTTCCCCCCCTTGCTTCCCCTCCTTTCCCCCCCTTGCTTCCCCTCCTTTCCCTCCCTTGCTTCCCCTCCTTTCCCCCCCTTGCTTCCCCTCCTTTTCCCCCCCTTGCTTCCCCTGCTTTCCCCCGCTGCTTCCCCTCCTTCCCTTCCCTCCTTCCCTCCTTTCCCCCCCTTGCTTCCCCTCCTTTCCCCCACTGCTTCCCCTGCTTTCCCCCGCTGCTTCCCCCTCCCCTCCTTCCCCCTGTCTCCCCCACTGCTTCCACACCTTTCTTCCACTGCTTCACCTTATTTTCCCCACTGCTTGTCCTCCTTTCCCCCACTGCATCCCTCCTTTTCCCCCCGTGCTTGCCCTGCTTTCCCCCAATGTTTCCACTTTCCACCTCCAGTACCGTAGTAACACCAGCGTTATCCAGCGTTACCCTCTCTGCCTCATCCCTTCTCTCCCCACCGATCCTCTACGCATCCATTCTCTCCCCATCCATCCTCTACGCATCCCTTCTCACCCCACCCTCCTTGCCACCATCTCCTCAGGTTTGGGGCGCTGTGGACGGACGGCAACAGGCAGATTTGCTCTGCAGGAACGAATGTGGTACTGCAGCGTCCAGGAAAGGCGACCTGCTGCGTGTACCCTTTCCTCGCTCGCCTATCCTCCCCATCGCCTGCCAGCACCGTCACATTTCCCGCGTCGCCTACAAGTAGAAGTTGCCTGCACACTTGACCGATCGGGAGTCACGAAGTTAGTACCGTATGCATGGATTGCTCTGTGCCTTTACTTGTAACCAAACTGCTTTGATAACATATTGTGTTATGGTACAGTACATGATATAAAACTTGTGATGTTTGCAACCTGTAATGATGTCACAGAACACCGCGGTCAATTACCAGTTGGTTAAAAACACTGAAACATGCGTTTGATGGCGCGATTGGTTAGGTCAGTAAGTACCTAAAAGGGGCAGAGAGAGGGTGTGTTTACGGTATGTGCTAATGTTCAAGGCGGCAGATTGGATGCTTGGATCAACCAAGGACAGGCCGAGTGACCAAGAGGCTAGCTGCTTCGCTCGCGGCCGTTGCCACGCTCCCCTGCCATTCACATTGCCATCGCTGCCTATCCATGCCCAGGTTGCTGGCACTTAGGTTGCTTGTGAGGCGCAGATAGTAAGATGTCCGGTCGGGAAGGCACCCCACCTGCAACACAAGCACAGAAACCGATCAAGGGAATGTAATGTGAGGGCTGTTGGAGACGAGAATGAAACTAGTGTGGGATGTAGTGGACAGGTGGCTTTGATGTGTGGGGACTGGAAGGGGATGGGAGGGGCTGGAAGGGGATGGGAAGGGCTGGAAGGGGATGGGAAGGGCTGGAAGGAGATGGGAGGGTATGGAAGGGGATGGCGGGGTATGGCTGTGGTATGAAAGGGTATGGCATATCATGGAACGGTATGGCAGGGAGATAGGGAAGATGGGAAGATGGGGAAGAGGCTGTGGTGGTGGGAAGCTCCCGTGGGGATGCATGAAGGGGAGATGGAGAGGGGCGACAGTGAGATAGGGTTGCAGGACAGAGAGGTGCAGGGAGATTGTCCTAGATAGGGCTTTTCTTAGACACAGAGAGGGAAGGGCAAGAAGACAGGCGCATAGAGGGAAGGGCAGGAATAGCGGCGCAGAGAGAAAAGGCCAGGATTAGCGGCACAGGGAGTGGATGGAAGTGAGAGAGGCATAGAGAGGGAGGGGCAGGTAAAGAGGCGCAGAGGGAAAAGGGCTTGGAAAGCGGTAGGTGCAGATAGCAGACCAACTCGCACTGTGGTGGCCAGGCTAGCTACGCCGTTTAGGGTGACAAATTCATTGGTGCTGGTAGGCATTCCCGTACACTCCCTCTGCCGCACATACAGCGATGAAATCGCAATAACTTCAAAGTATCGTAACTGCACGCACAGGGAAGGACAAGGTAGATGAGTTGCAAGGAAGGTCAGAGGAGGGGAAGAGGGTGTAAGGCACATTCCAAAGGAATAGAAAACATCGCTGGAATTACGTGCATGGAAAAAATGGTGCTGGCAGGAGAAAGAGGTGGCGGGAAGCATGAAGGGGGGATGGGAAGGCAGGAGAAAGAGGTGGTGGGAAACATGAAGGGGAAGGTAGAGAAGGGCGGAAAGGGAGAGAAGGGGGCTCAGGGAGAGTAGGGGGGGAAGGGAGAGAAGGGAGGGAAGGGAGAGAAGGGAGGGAAGGGAGAGAAGGGCGGGAAGGGAGAGAAGGGAGGGAAGGGAGAGAAGGGCGGGAAAGGAGAGAAGGGAGGACAGGGAGAGAAGGGAGGGATACGAGAGAAGGGAGAGAAAGGAGGGAAGGGAGGTAAGGGAGGACAGGGAGAGAAAAGGGAGGGAAGGGAGAGAAGTGAGGGAAAGGGGATACGGGAGAGAGGGGAAGGAAGGGAGGGAAGGGAGAGAAGGGTGGGAAGGGAGACAAGGGAGGGAAGGGTGAGAAAAGGAGGGAACGGAGAGACTTTTATCGAAGGGTGAGAAGGGAGGGAAGGTAGAGAAGGGAGGGAAGTGAGGGAAGGGAGGGAAGGGATGAAAGGGAGTGAAAGGAGAGACGGGGGAGATGTCGGGAGGGAGAGACGATGGAGAGAAGGGATGAAAGGGAGGTAACGGAGAGAAGGTAGGGGGGGAGGAGAAGGGCGGGAAGGGATAGAAGGTAGGGAGGCGGTGAGAAGGGCGGGAAGGAAGGGAAGGGAGGGCAGGGAGGGCAGGGAGAGAAGGGAGAGAAGGGAGGGAAGGGAGAGAAGGGAGAGAAGGTAGAGAAGGTAGAGAAGGGAGAGAAGGGAGAGAAGGTAGAGAAGGTAGAGAAGGGAGAGAAGGGAGAGAAGGTAGAGAAGGGAGAGAAGGGAGAGAAGGTAGAGAAGGGAGAGAAGGGAGAGAAGGTAGAGAAGGGAGAGAAGGGAGAGAAGGTAGAGAAGGGAGAGAAGGGAGAGAAGGGAGAGAAGGGAGAGAAGGGAGAGAAGGGAGAGAAGGGACAGAAGGGAGAGAAGGGAGAGAAGGGAGAGAAGGTAGATAAGGTAGTCAAGGGAGGGAAGGGATGAAAGGGAGTGAAAGGAGAGACGGGAGAGATGTCGGGAGGGAGAGTCGAGGGAGGGAAGGGATGAAAGGGAGGTAACGGAGAGAAGGTAGGGGGGACGGCGGGACGAGGCTTCTTGGGCGACGGGAAGGGGAGAATGGGAGGCGGGAATGGGAGAACGGGAGGCGGGAAGGGAAGAATGGGAGGCGGGAAGGGGAGAATGGGAGGCGGAAAGGGGAGAATGGGAGGCGGAAAGGGGAGAATGGTAGGCGGGAAGGGGAGAATGGGAGGAGCAAGGGGAGAATGGGAGGCGGGAAGGAGAAAATGAGAGGGAAGGGGAGAAAGGGAGGCGGGAAGGGGAGAATGGGAGGCGGGAAGGAGAGAATGGGAGGCGGGAAGGAGAGAATGGGAGGCGGGAAGAGGAGAATGTGAGGCAGGAAGGGGAGAATGGGGGGGGGGGAATGGGAGTATGGGACGCGGGAAAGGGAGAAAGGGAGGCTGAAGGGGGAGAATGGGGGGCGGAAACCGGAAAATGGGAGGCGGGAAGGGGAGAACGGGAGGCGGGAAGAGGAGAATGGGAGGCGGAAAGGGGAGAACCCTAGGCGGGAAGGGGAGAACAGGAGGAGCAAGGGGAGAATGGGAGGCGAGAAGGAGAAAATGAGAGGCGGGAAGGGGAGAAAGGGAGGCGGGAAGGGTAGAATGGGAGGAGCAAGGGGAGAATGGGGGGCGGGAAGGAGAAAATGGGAGGCGAGAAGGGGAGAATGGGAGGCGGGAAGGGGAGAATGGGAAGCGGGAAGGGGAGATTGGGCGGCGGGAACGGGGAAACGGGCGGCGGGAAAAGGGAATCGGGCGCGGGAAGGGGGAACCGAGCGGCGGGAAAGGGGGATTGGGCGGCGGGAAAGGGGAATGGGGCGCGGGAAGGGGAATCGGGCTGCGGGAAAGGGAAATCGGGCGGCGGGAAAGGGGAATCGGGCGCGGAAAGGGGAATCGGGCGGCGGGAAGGGGAATCGGGCGGCGGGAAAGGGGAATCGGGCGGCGGGATGGGAAATCGGGCTGCGAGAAAAGGGAATCGGCCGGCGGGAAACTCACTACCGCGCGGCGGGAAAGGAGAATCGGGCGGCGAGAACCGCAAATTGGGCGGAGGGAAAGGCGAATCGGGCCGCGGGAAGGGCGAATCAGGAGTGTGCAAAGGCGATTCGGGGGTCCGCGAAGCCGCGAGGGTAGGTGTGAACAGGCTTCAATGATCTCACACGTGGAGAATGACTGCGAATTAGGAACGCAAATTAAACAAATGGCACGGTTGGCGTATGACCTAATTTATAAGATGCCCCATGGTCGTTTCGCCTAAATATTGCCTACGGTGGTTGCCTTTTAGTAGTGCACACTAAGGACGCGGTGGGAGTGGGGCTAGTGGCGAGGAGGCAACGCCTTCAGTATACTTTTGGCTTTCATAATATTTTGACGATCGAGTCTGGTGAGAGGGGTTGGGAAGACTTTGTCGCTCGTGACAGAAGTGGAGTGGCCCTGTAATTCGGTTACCACCAGGTCCCTTTTATAAACTTTTGGCACTAGCCCAGCCAAATGTATACCGCTGCTTTAACAAGACAGTCGTTCAATCAATGAGCTAATGGTAATACATCACAAAGGTAACAAACGGTAAGAAATTATTTGTTATGAGTATCGGTAAGAATGAACTAACAGAGTGCGCGAAAAAAACGGATAACGACAATATGGTTACCGTAATCAGAATAACGATACAATGAAAGTGACGTGATTATATGGGGGGCTCCTAGCTAGGCGGGGGTGTTGGGTTAAAGCCCGAGGTCAGCATGGGAAGGGTGGCGAGTGGTGTGGGGGCTACTTATGAATGGTTTGCAGCAAAATTGCAGGCCGAACCAGCTAACGCGTGGCCCTCGGAACTGTACCCGCTAACGTGCGAATACAGTAAGGAACTGCAATTCCTGATACGTTATCCTGTATAGTAATTCGCAACCGTATCTTCATCTTAGTTCGTCCAGATTTCAGAATTTCTAGGATTTCCCATCCGCCACATGGCACTCTAGTTTCTACCCATTCCAATCCTTGTCTCACGAACTACTTTCCAACATTCACTCTTGCATGCTGTTAGAGTAAGGATCTTGGATAGGATAGGATTGCCTTTGAGAGATTTGGTAGCGGAAGTATTTGTGGTAGCAACCTTGTGCATAGTGGATGTAAATGACAAGACTGATTAAAGCATAAAATTACACACAATAAATAGATCTAACTAGCCATGTACTCTGAGGGGTACCTTCCCTTATTCTAACTGTTTTACAGGCAGTTTCTACAATGACTCCAACCATTGCTCTTCTTCTTGTTACCGAGTGTCAGAATCCCAACCACTTAGACCATTGGGATAAAAGGGCTTGTTTGTGTAGCGGGTTTGTGCGCCCATAACCCCCCAGACGAACGCGCCTGTAACCCTTCCTAGGATCAATCGGGCATCCACAGTGCAGATCTACTGACACCCCCCCACACTGGGAGGCCCAGGACTGAGCACATCGGCAACGGCCTACATGTGCATACACCGGGATTCGAACCCGAGACTGCTCTGATACCTTGTCAGAATCCCAACCACTTAGACCATTGGGATAAAAGGGCTTGTTTGTGTAGCGGTTTTT